CCCCAGCTCCATGGCGCCGCCCGAGGGGCTTGCGGCCGCCTGACTGCGAGGGGGAGCCCGAGGGCGCGGGGCCCAGAGCGCGGGGCGGGGCCCGGGAAGCGGGACGTCCGGACAGCGGCCCCCTGTGGGGCGATTGGCCACCCGGAGGGGGCGCGGCAGTCAGGGTTCTCTGGCCGGGGCAAGGTTTTCCAAACTGCCCGGCGGCGACTCACCCACCGCGCGCGAGATCGGTTTACGGGCCCCGCCAGCACGCTTTCCTGCCAGGAGGACGGCCGGCGCGGCTCGGCGGCTGAGCATCGACCCAGGATCCAGGCGATCGGGGTTCGATTCCGGGTCAGGGCACAGCCCCGGGCTGCGGGCTCGATCCCCAGCAGGGGGCGTGCAGGAGGCAGCCGATCAGTGACTCTCATCATTGACGTTTCTCTCTCTCCCTCCCCCTTCCTCTCTCTGAAATCAATAGAGATATATATATTTTTAAAAAGCCATATGTGGTGGTTAATTCCATGGAGAACTCAGGGCTAATATTTCTTGTTTTGTTTCTGAGGAGAAAAGTTTGGCAAAAAGGATCGCATGCCCGCCCTCCCCCAGACCTCGGAGTGGCTCACTCCTGGTGCCCAGAGGGAGAGTTTGGACAACCAATAAGCTTGCAGAAGAATCCAGTGCCGAAGAAGGCTCACTTTAGCCTCAAAGAGAACTGAACCCCAAAATCACCCACAGGAGGCCACCAGCACTTATAAAACTTGCATAAGGTAGGAAGGAATAGGACTGGGGTCCTTGGGGTACATGGTGGCCGGCAAGGCCAAGCACTGCTTTCTGAGGCTCCAGGGTCAGCTGCGGGTGTAGGGTGCCCGCTGGCTCCCGTGTACAAGCTGCTTTGTTCTGTGGCTTCACGTGGGAAAACCTAGAGCCAGTGCTCTGAAGACCTTCTGTGGCCGGGAGTAGGGAATCGGTGATTGCAGGGCCTCTGGGGCGCCCGGGGCTTTGGGCTGGCTGGAGGAGAGGTGGCGGGCAGCAGGAGGCACAGATTGGAGAGGCCCCTGGCGGGCAGCAAAGACAGTCCCCCCATGAGGCCTGGCGCGTGGTGCAGCGCGCACCCCCAGCCGTCTGAGGAGCCCTGCTTTCTGCCCCTGACCTTGGACCCTGCCCTCTGCCTGCCAAGGCGAGGGAGGGACAGCCCCTAGCTTGTCCTGCAGAAAGGCACATCTGCTTGGCTCCCGTCAGGGGCTTTATCTGCCCCCAGGTGGTGTCTCAGTCCTCTCACTTGCCCTGTGCTCCTGGGTGGGCCAGCTGGACTGACCCCCGGCAGCTTTGGTGCAAACCCTGCTCTGGAAGTGCCCGCAGCACTCCCCACCCCCACTCTGTGCCCTGTGCCCTCGCAGCTCAAGGGGACCATCGCCTGGAGGGCCCCACCCCAGCCCCTCACCCTCTGCCCCCTTGCCCAGGGTTGGGCGCTGCACTAGTCCAGCTGACTGACCACCTCAGGCCTCCTTACATCCACGCTCGGCCTTCTGCATGCACAGGCCATGCCGGGACCCGGGCCAGGGACAGTAGGAAGAGCAGCAGCTGAGGGCCCCTCCCCAGCTTGGGCTGCCCTCTCGGGGGCCTGGGGGGGCGTGTCCAAGGTGAAGCCGTCTTATCCGCGGAGCCCAGCACCCC